GACTTAGACAGGAAGATTTAGTCCACAGGTGAAAATATTTTCACTTACATACATCTCTTTCTTCTTTTATAATCATTCCAATAAAGTTGCTTATCTTATATTATATTAAACTCAATACACAATTTGACAACTTGTGTTAGAATAATCAAGAGCATTAATCCTTATGAAGGAAGAGTGCTGGTGGTTTTCATCCTTATGATAAATAATTTTTTAATTTTTGTCAATCATTCCCAAAACTTATTCCACAATTACATCTCTCTCATTTACAGAGACAAAATAGCATAAAATGTATATTTCATTCTACATAGTCAAAAAAGAATCGCACATAGTCAAAATATATTATAAAGCAGTAACATCAATCTATGGGTAGAGATCATTTCCAATTGTAAATCATTTTATTTAAAAAGCAAATCATTGCTGTAGTTTCCAATGCATGTCTCATATCAGGAAGAAAAAAAATATTATTTGTAAAATCAATTATATGAAGGAAGAACCTTCTGCAGTTCAGAAGGAATAGAAGGAAGAAAAAAAACACCCACATACACTGCTATGCCATAAAGGAGGTTTTTTTTTCCCTTCTAAACTAGGATAAGATATGGAGGAATCCAGATTTTTTTTCCTCCAATGTATGTAATGTATGCAACTGCATATTATTCCACATCTAAAATGAATGTCAATAAATGGTTGATAACCAAGTGAGAACATCAAATATGAGGCAATATAAGTGGCACAGTACCATGCCTGAGACCAAGTCAACTTCTATCAGAATTTCACTACTAACTCTGAGTCTTATCCATCCACGGTGCAATATTGATTAAATTACCAGCTAGCTGCAAAGACTGCAATTAGACAATATATGTCAAAAGTCTAGAGTCTTGCAATATGGTATAAATGTCAAGCATTATTTAATTTAGAAGTCAAGTGCTATCAGCTCCAAGCTGTTGTTTGTTTTAAGTCTATAAACGTTACCTTCTAACAACCCTATTTTTTCCAGGTTAACAATTTAACTAACTAAATGTCCCCATTTATCTGTATTTACTTCTTTTGTTCATGTTTATGTTCATACCTATACTTGTTATCTTGTATATGTTTGAGAAACAAATTAATTAAATTAAGCCCATACATTTATAAAGTACACACTATAAATTTATGTTGTTAAATGCAAAGAGCTTGTAAGTTTTCATAGAGTGATAGTTTTGAGGTGATCAGACAGTTCAGATATTTGGATGGTTTACCCTTGTTTTTAACAGACAAGGTAATTCCCCCACTTACCTCTCTCCCCCATTTCATGCCCATATTTATGGCTATGTCTAGATGAATAGGGATGATTTGCATTTAAGATGTCAGTAAATTATACTGTGCGTACTGCATACAAAACTGATGGTACATTTTACTGACAATTGCTGAAATCCACATGGAACCGTGAATAACAATAACTATGCATCAACTGTAAATTATGACATAAATTTAAGAGCTACAGAACAACCACCAAAAAAAAAAACAAAAAAAAAAAAACCAACAAAACAAAAACCCTCCAATCCTTCTCTATACAAAGAAAGGGAACAGTAATTTTCCCAAAATGGCTGAGGAACTCAACGAAACAACTGCAAATTGAATATTGTATTTCCTTCCAAAGAATGGTTTTAACATTCTAACCAGCTTAGATTTAACAAGTTCCTTCCAATTCAGGCCAAAAATCCATTCACATGTTCTAGTTCTATAAAATATGATCAGCAATAGATCTACTAATTTATTTTTATTGACTTAATCAAAGAAGCTTATTTTTTAGCCTATGTTCTAAAGTGCTCTTACTGAAAATACTTCCAAATGAAACAAACTGACTAAACTGAGAAATTTCAAATAATATTGTTGAGTTTCCTTATTCTGGTAGATGGACCTTTTTGTTTTTTAATCATCTGCTGAAGATGCCCTCCACTCATCTCAAGTGCTTTTGCACAAGTGACTATAACTCTCATTTGAACTCTTTTTTACTTTCTGTTCTTTGGCTTTCCTACTTGCTGTCTTTTCCATGAGTTGCTAAGAAGCATCTTTGAGACCTTCCTGTGGCATGCAAGAATTGCTCTCATGAAAGGTTGTTCATTGTGGGAAACAGGATGTTGTGTAAGATGGGCTTTTGATGTGATCCAACATCAAAAAACTTGTCTTCTTCTGTTAAGGAAGAATGGAATGGAATGGAATGGAACGGAACAGAATAAAAAACAGAATAGGGCTCCTAGCCCTTTAAATGCCTGGGCAGAATTTCAGTGGAAGAGAGCTATTTTTTCCTGCAATACCTTTTTACAAACTATTACAATTGTTCTATTGTTACTAGAACTATATATTCACATCATCAAGACATTTAAGTAAAAGGTGACTTATGATTTAAGTCTAATGAATTACCTCATCTTTTCAGCCTTTCTCATTTAATCCTCATTTGTGAGGTAAAATAATATTAATTTCCCTCTCAAGAGTACTGTCATTATGCGAGAATATACCCCAAATTCTCAAAATACCTAAAAAATGCTTGCTTGAAAATTAACTTGTACCAAACAATTCTTTTTCCCCCCAGATAAACATACATTTACTGAAAAAGTACAAATCTTAAACCATTTTTTAACCTGATGCCCTCCAAAGAGAATTGGGAATACAAGTATCACAATATTCAGAATTCTACACCTGACATATCTGGAATGGACCAGGAATTACAAAGGCAATCTTAAATCATATTTAATTTCACTGCTGTATATAGTCAGTTTTGTCTTAAGAGCCTGTATATCCTATAGGCAAAAAAGCCAGTCTCTTTAAAGCACAAAATTCTGTTTTTCAGACACCACTTATTTGTATAGGGTTCCTTGATATACCTTCCATTGGTTTCCAGATTTGGAAGCTGTGCTCCAAGCATTTAAGAATGCTTTCGAAAGGACAAAATAAAAGGGAATTGTTTTCTTGAGTCACATCCCACAACCACACTAATCAGGAACTACATTCAGATTTATTGTAATGTTGGCATTTTCTTTCAGCAACCTGTATTCATATTTTGGCATGTTCACTGTGGACAGTTCAACACTTTTGCACTTACTTTTTTATATACTGAAAATCAAACACCCAAAAGCTGAATGTCGTGGTGCTAGAATTCAGTGTGGGGAGTGGGGAAGGAATATTGGATAGATAGATGGATGGATGGATGGATGGATGGATGGACGGACAGACAGACAGACAAGATTGTTCTGGGCCAACCTATTATGTCATACTCATTCATATTTTCATAACTGCCAAGTTTTAAAACAAAAGATACAAGAAAAAAGCAACACCATATATCAACCTCCAACTCAGAAGGCTTAATGATGAACTATCACCACCTTCCAACTTCACCATATTAATCACATTTAATCAAAAGCAGATTCAGTGTGAAATTTGCAGCACATTTAAAGAATTTAGGATTAAACTATATAGCTTAAAAACTTAATAGTTTATACACATCTAAACCGCCAGGTGATCTCAACTATCAGAGAACTAAATCCTTCCATTCCCAACCATTCAACCAGAAGTGAAGAGGTTTCTTGGATGAGGAATGAAAACATTTTCAAGAAAACAAAAAACAAAAAAAACAAGAAGTCCAGTTGCCTTTGAAAAAGTACCTTTGGGATGACCATAACCTGGATGATTGAGAATCGCCATAGACATAAATCTAAAATTAATTCTTCATCATATTCCTCTGAAATCAATGGACAGTTTTACTTCAAAGCATTAAAAACCAAATCAAACCTCAGGTTCCTGTTTAAAACATAAGACTATTGCCTGATTCTGTGCAAGAATAAAATACAACAGCCATAGGATGGTATTACCTTCACTGCGAATAGCCAAAAGCGCACCCAAAAGTTCGCAAGCTTTTACATTTCCCACAATTCAGGGAAGTTATTAAGGACAGTCAGGGATAAGTAACATGCCTCCAGGCTAAAACTTTGGTCTGATTCTTTAATTCGTTAATTGAGAAGTCACAGAATTAATTAAGCCCTGCTCTTTGAGGAATAGCTTTTAAAAAATGGGCACACTTTTTGTGTCACTCTGACAGGTCCAAATAAAGCCAATGTTAGATTTTGTTATTCATGAGTTTCTATTTGACTCTCACTGTACAGCCTATGCTGGTTTATTTACTCCCAGAAATAAATCTCCCTGCGACAACTACAGCTAAAAAAGTGTTTCTCACACGAGTGTACAATCGCGCCCTTTTGAGGAAGGAGCGTCCCCCAAACACCAAGTCTGATTTGTCCGACTACAGATGAAACTGTTAACTTTAATGCACTGTTTTACATTTTGTTCTCTCTGTGTCACACACACACTCCACACACAAACAAAAACTTCCCATCTCCCTTTGGGACCGGAGGGACGAGCCGCGCTGCTGAAACTCTCACGCCGAAATGAATCCACTGAAAGGCCGGAGGGGTAGGAGGTCACTATAAAGACCGCACAGCTTGCTCCTTCTCGTTCCCTTCTCCCGTCCGCTTGTCTTGTGTGTGTGCGTGTGCGTGTGCGTGTGCGTGTGCGTGTGTGTGTGTGTGTGTGTGTTTTTTAGAAAGAGATGCTTACAGAACTTGGTCCAGGATCCGATTCAGAAGATCGTTTCTCGCACAAACGCTTCCAAATTTGCTAGGTTTCCAGATTCGGGCAGCTGAAGCACGAGCACGCGTGGCTCAAAGAAACGCAACCCACGGTTTAGCTTAGTTTTGGATCGGGCTTCTAAGCCGCACCGGAGAGCGCCCGTTTATATTCGCCTGGCAATTCATTTATTGAGCAGCGCTGGGGAAAAAGGGGCGCTCCCCCCGCCTCCCTCCCCCGCCCCTTCCACAAAGCGAATTGGATGGTCCGAGAAATGTCCTCCCCTGCCTTTTATGAATCTTATTCCCCGAAAGCAACTGTAGAAGGGTTACGTTTCTCTCTTTCCGCCTCCCCTATAATGTTTCACACCATCTCTTCCCACTCACCCCTTTTTTTTTACTCACCAAAAGCTGTGCTTTCCTTCCCGGGCTTAATATCAGGAATCAAAATGAGTTTGGGTTTTCCCGGTTTGGGCAGAAAGAATTCTCACCACAATCACCACCACCCCAAAAAATGAGGTATATATACATATATATATATAAAGATGTTTAAAAAAGAAAAAAAAAACCCGAGAAAGGAGTTGAAACGGTTAAAAAAAGAGAAGAGCCGCGATCCCGCTAGTTGCTCCTTACAGGTCGAGGTTACAATCCAATCAGCGGAGATCTTCGAAAGGAGCCCGAAGCGGACGACGGCCGGCTTCTGCCGCCAGGAGCGCTCAGAAGCCTTGTGAGGTTGTAACTTATCGGCAGCCGAAGGGGAAACATCCCCGCTTCCTGTTACATCAGGAGGAGACCCCGCCCGTGTCGAGTATTACATTTCTTGCTTTCTCAAATAACGCGCGCGCTCGGGCCGGGCGAGCTTTCGCTCTCCTTTCCAAAGGCAAAAAGCCGCGCGGTTCTTTCTGCCTTGGCTGGAAGCCTGTTTGCCCTTCTGTTTTTTCACCTTGGAACAACTAGGCATCGATTCCCATTAACCCTTGCTGTGTGACCCTGTCAGCAGAGGTTGATAGGAGTCGAAGTGGCAGCAGGGTGTTTGGGACGACCCTCTCCCATCCCCAAAAAAGCAGAAACGTGAGGCTTTCCCCTTGGCAAGGGGAGGTGGGTAGAAGCGGCCTAGGGAAGGTACATGTTTCCACTTAGGGGTAGAAAGCCTGGTGTTGGATCTCAAACCTACCTGTCCCCTTGATGGCTTGAATTGTTAAGGTAAAGGGTTACAGCAGTGCTTGGTTGGTTTGGACTATTTAAACTTCCAACAGCTCGTCCAAAGTTTAGATAGTCCAAACTAACCAAGCTCGAAAAAGCTCCCAGTGACCGACCCAAATTCGAGTCCAAACTATCCCCAAAAGGAAACCTTTTGGGAAAAGTATTTTTGAGGTTTGATGGCTAATAATACCACTTTTTTTCCCCAAGTTTCAAGATAATCATATTCCACTGCTGGAATGGCCTGGGAAAAGACTAGACACGTGATGGCAAACCTATGGCACACGTGCCACAGGTAGCACACGGAGCCATATCAGTGGGCATGTGAGCTCAGCTCTGGCGTGCATGTGCGCACCAGCCAGCTGATTTTCGGGCCTTCTGGGCCCACGGAAGTTGGGAAATAGGCTGTTTCCAGCCTCTGGAGGGCCGGTGGGGAGCCGTTTTCACCCGCCCCAAACTCCTAGAAAGTCTCTGGAGCCTGGGGAGGGCGAAAAATGGGCCTACCAGGCCTACCGTGCCATCACGTGCCAAAAGCGGGGGAAGCGGAGGGGTCACGCACACATGCGCGGGGGGGTTGGGTGCATAGAATTATGGGTGTGGGCACACATGTGCGACCCCCCTGCACCACCACCACCCGCTTTTGGCACATGATGGCTAAAAGGTTAGCCATCATTGGCCTAGACCTTAACCCAAATGAAAATCTATGGAGCCGAATAAAGAAACTTGTTAATCAGAAGCGACCCAGTTAATAGAAGCAATAAAACCCAGTTAATAGAAGCAATCATTCAATCTTGGTTTTACATTATAACAGCTGCAGAACTATATATTTGTATATCTCGTTTTTCCTACATGTTTCACTTTTCTTCTTTATACTGTAACTGCTATTCTAATAGCAAATCCTTCATAAAAGTTATTGCATTACATTCGTGATTAAATTATCTTTCCATTGATATATACTTTTATAATACTACTCCAAAAAAAAGTGGTATTATTAGCTAGGTTTAGAAAATACACTTTTCCCAAAAGGTTTCCACAATTTTGGCCACTACTGTAGAGTGTTGGAGATTCCAATCATAGAAGTTTTGAAAACTATGACTTATCACTTTGTTGTTTGTATGTATACAGAGAGCTTATGAACCAGAGACAAATTTCTTGTGTGTCCAATCACACTTGGCCAATAAAGAATATTCTATGCTCTACCCCAAACTTTCCTGCAGAGGAAGAAAGAGAAGCTACAGGAACCCTGTAGCTCAACCCTGTAGCTCAAGTCCTGTGTTGTATGTTGACTTCATTCCTGTTAGATGAAACCTGCAATTCATAAATCCCATCAATAAATACAAAAGTAAAAACACACTTGGTTGACCTTAAGTAAAGGTCCTTTTGCTTCTTCAGCCTTAACCTACTTCACATGATTGTAGTGAGCAAATATAAGATGGTAGAAATGGTGGACACAAAAGAAATATTTTGTAGCTCCTCAGAGGAAGGTTGGGAAGACTTCCCTGCGTATTCCTCCAAATGTAACTTGATGATAAATGAGGAAGAATAGATAGAAGCAGGTTTCCTGTAACTCAGTTGCAGTATATGTAGTCCTCAATTTAAGCAACAATTTGTTTAATGAACAAAGTTATAACGGCATTGAAAAAAGTGACTTATGACTGTTTTTCACTTATGACTGTTGCCGCATCCCCATGATCATGTGATCAAAATTTGGATGCTTGGCAACTGATTCATATTTATGATGGTTGCAGTGTCCCAGGGTATTGTAATCAGTTTTTGCAACCTCCTGACAAGCAAAGTCAATGGGGAAGCCAGATTCACTTAACAACCATGTTACTAATTTAATAACTGCAGTGATTCTCCTAACAACTGTGGCAAGAAAGGCCATAAAATGGGGGCAAAATTCACTTGTCTCACTTAACATAAATTTTGGGATCAACTAGTCGTACGTTGAGGACTATCTGTATTCCCCTGGCCCAACATTCAGTTTAAACACACTTGCCTATGATCATGTGAGACTGCCTTCCCTTCTCATTACAGCTAGGTAATCCACTGATACCTCCGGTTCTTCAGTTCAGGCTTGACCTTCAACAGTTCTCCACTGGTATATTACCTGCTGAAGAACTGGGAGGAAGAGTAAATGAAATGACAAGGATTCACCCCACCACCCCCATAGCAGCTGGAAAATATAATTTGGGTGTCATCTTGTCATCTTGACAAGGGGATATGAAAGGCATCAGTTCTGCCTACTCATCTGAACAGCTTCCTTAGTTACAGCTAAAAGCGTAAGTCAGTTGAATTCGTGCAATAAAACAGGATTGTTTTATAACATTGTCATATAATTGGTGATAGGAAGGAAAGGAAGAAAGGAAGGGAATATTTAAACCTTTGACCCCAGAACTGAGTTTACATACAATGTAATGAATATAATAAAGTAGATTATTTCTTCTGTGGAGAAGAGTTTTATAATTATGTCCTTTTATCTTTCAAATCTCACGTTTTATCATAACTTCAACTAAAATCGGAATCCGAGTTTTGGATCATTCTTTCATCCTTCAAAGTGATCGTGTAGTGGGAATATAAATTGCCAAATTTAAATGGAAATGAATTTCAGATATTTTATTGTCCAGCACCAAATATGAATGTGCATGACATAGGTGGAGCTAATGTATACATGTTCAAATTATATATACATTAACATGCCTACTAAACATTACACGTTTCATTGCCTGCCAGAATAAATGTTTACAATTAAATTAGCAAACTACGGATTTTGGGTTTCTCAGAGGTTTTAATATATGTTTTAAATGATGGTCCTATCAAGCATTTACTTGGAAGTAACCCCATATGAATAAAACTGATGTGAGTAATTTTCCAAGTAAATCTGATTAAACATGCTATTTCCCAGATAAAGAGGCATTGAATTAGGCCATCGCTCTGTCAAATATACATCTCCCGAGAGTCATTATGGTGTAACAGTCAAGGTGTTGGACTTTAAAAGCAGGCTGATCCAGATCTTAATCTGTCCTCAGTTGTGTAAGCACCCCAAGATACACTCCTCCCCCCCCCACAAATCAGTTGTTGGTATCAGAAATATGAGAGGCGAGACAGCTCTATTATTCATTGTCTTGAGTTCTTGGAATAAAAGTAGACTGTAAATTAATATTTTCTGTTAGATAGCACATGAGAACCAATTTCGTGCAGTGGCTAAGGCTCCAGAGACTGTGACTTCTAATCCAACCTTAAGTACAAGGCCAGCTGAGTGACCTTGGCCAGTCTTTCTGTCTCAGCCCTAGGAAGGAGGCAAGGACTAATCACTTCCAAAATCTTGCTGAGAAAACTTCAGAAACTAGTCCAGGCTGTCTCCAGGAGTCAATACTGACTGAAGGCACCTCCCCAACCCCCAAAATGACACATATTTTTACAAAGTGGAGTGTGTGGAGAGAGAAAAACAATGTAGTTAAGACTATACTTTTTCTTTTAAAGAAAGTATTCTTAAAACTGATACTTCCATGAAAGAAAAGAGAAATAAGTTTAATTAGACAACAATAAGGTGGTCCTGTCCTTAAGATCACAAATGGGGTCAGAATCTCAGTTGTTGAACAAAGCAGTAATTAAGTGAGATACCATACGATTGCTTCACTCAATGACTACAATCTTGGCACTTCCAGTTGTGGTTGTTAAGCAATCTCGAAGGAAGGAAGGAAGCTTATTGACCTTCTGCATATTGCTGAGTTATAATATGCGTTTATCTGCTGGCTGACTCTTATCTTTCATCGACATACCAACAACATCAGGTTACTTACTACTTCAGAGTTATATGTTTTTGATTATCTTTTTAATGAAATAAACTGCTTAAATATAAGCTATACAGGGTAGAATTTCTTGAAGATATAATTCCAGAACATCTGAAAGACAGAAATTGATGACTCACTTGAACTTTGCAGGTGTTTTTTATTATATAATCTGTGGTTTTGTGTTTTACAAAATTAAGGAGTCAGATGGAAAGAAGAAGAAATGTGAATATGTGTCAATATTTGTACACTGCCCAAAGTCCCTTTGTGATGGAAATGGGAGGTTTTATAATATGATAAATAAATAAAATAAATGAAAAAACCTGTTCTCCAACTCTCTTTCACCTAATTTTCTTTCCTAAGAAAGTCCACACCTAAAGTTGATCTGAAATTTGATTTTGATCTTTGGCAATCCAGATGCTCAGTCACCAAGCTAAGTAGTTATTTGACTTCAAGATATTTGAAACCTACCTATATCACAAGATGAAATAAGAGGAGGAAAAAACATTGGCAGTTTAGCTTTTTTCCTTATCAAAATATAGCAAAGATTACTTAATCTTCAATTTCTTTTTTTGTATGGAATACGCTATATTATATTTCCAGATGGTTATCTATAGACCACAATTTATATATGCCTACATAAACTCTACTGTAGTGTAGAGAACCAAGAGCTGTGAGTACATAGTTACACAGAGAGAAATTTCATAATCAGCTATACACACGCACTCAGCCCCCCAAAATGGAAATATAGTAGCTTGAATTACGGTAAAATGATCACT